CTAAAGCACACTGGTTGTTGTTGTTTATGGCTGATACCCTGCCAGTTAAATTTCCAGGTTGCCCTTGTTTTTAACGTTGAAATGAATCATCTATTTATCATTCCTTTCACATTAATCAAGCTGTGAATGACAATAATCTCTGAAATGTTACTTATTTTAAATAAATGCCACCCAATTACCATCTAGCAATGTCTTAGTCTGAGAATGGAAAAGCCTGATGAAACAAACTACTTGACAGCAAATGTGACTGTCAGAATAGTTTGATCCCAAATTTGGCTGTTACATACGACACCCTATTGCCAACTTCCTATACAGTCATCCTTACTCTTCTGTGGTCTTGCCCTCCAGACCATCCACAACCTCTAGGGAGGTGTCTCCTTCACTCCAGTTGATACCATAGGTCAACTGGCCACTGGTGGTGCTGTTAATAGCCACTGAAGTCACCAGGTTAATGCGGGGCCTCATCAAGCAGTAGAACATGGGCAGCTGAGAAGTGATGCCCTCCACACGCTGGCTCACACAGATCTCCATGCCATGGATATCACTGCAGCCAGAATCACCTGTAAGATTTAATTAAAAGTTAATATCTTTCATACAAAGATACACATACGCTCAACTGCTTGATTTTTTTTTTCCAACAACCTGGGGACTGTGAAAAACTGTCTCTACATATTAGCATTTCATCTGATCCATCTAGTTTTTCTTGCCAAAAAATAGAAGGGTATAGAGCACCACAGACTTTTGTGCTTGCACCTGAAATCATATGGAAATAGAAAATGGTCCTCTGTAAGAGAGACAATGAGCAGTTTGTCAGAAAATAAGCCTGTTAAGCACTTAAACTGTTCAAATAAAGGCAGGTACACTACAGCTGTTAGTTTAGACATCATAACTAACAATTTGATATCCTTGAAGGCTTTTGGTGTGTTTGATTCACAATAGACCCTTTTTCACATTTTTCAATCAAAAGTAGCCAAGGGTGGGCCAGGAAACTTCAGGGCCAAGCGTGAGACAAAAGTACAAAGGCAGAATCTAAAAGCTGGAGCTTTTGTAGTGTACCCGAGTGCTTGTGTTCCAAACAAAAACAGCCATATTTGTCCATTCACTCGCTCCCAAAGGACCCACAACTTAAAGGAAAATGGCTGCAAGCAATTAGGGGCAACAGAGGACCAAATTTTAAGATATAAAGAGGCAGCATCTATGTGTGTAGTCGGCACTGCTCTCCAAAGGACTACATTGAAGCAGGCAGCGCTCATCTCAAAAACAGCGTTGTCCTAAGCCGGTTTTCATGGAACAACTTGACCAACTTGTAGCAGCTAGCCCCGACTACAACATTTGATACTTTAAACATTTCAACACAAGACAGAAAAACATTAGCAGATGCATCAGCTGAGCCAACACTAAAGCACTGTATATTTTATTTATCTTTGTAATAGTACACAAACTCCTTGCACAAGAATGTGAAAAAAGGTCTATTCACTTAAGAATCTGATACAGTGTCACACTAAGAATTTCTGCTCTGCTGCATTTTCAAACATCCAATTTGACTAGTTTTTGGAGTTCCCCTCTCTCAGATTGGACCAATATGGGTCAAACAGTGATGAATATAAAAAGAGGACAGGACAGAATCAGATGGAAAATAAATTCAACTCTACAGTCTCCTGTAAAACCTAACTTGGAAACTTGAGTGGGATATTTTCCACACCTCTTCTAATGATCTTTTGTCTGAAGCATTTCATGTTGACGAATTTGTCTGCTAGTTGTGTTAAAAACTAATGGCTGAAACCACTGGCCATGTGTATATACAGACATGATGCAGTATTACCTATGGGTCTATTTTCATTCTCACTGCAGTTTAGGTGTAACAGACAAGCGGGGTAAAGTAATGCTCAAACAAATTTTGCACCATTTCTGATTTGCAGTCCGTTTCCTCGCTGCACAATGAATATATTCCTTTAAGACAATGCAGTCTGGTCAGAGAGCATTTATTCATCATTTAAAACGACTGTGCTTTTGAGAAAATGCAGGACTGTCTGTTAGGTTGTCTTGGTGGCAGCTACTTTCAAGTGCACAGAAGAAAAACCATGATGATCCTAGTCCTAGAATGTTTCGACTTGCTCACTTACCTATGAGGATGCTTTCGACATAAATGGGCTCGATGAAGTGGCTGAGCAAGGCTCCCTGATATCCCAGCACCTGCCACTGAGTGACCTTGTCAGTGGTAGACATGCTGACAACCTTGGAGGCACTGTGATCAAAGGCTGTCGAGAAAACTGAGAAGACCTTTAAAAGAAACAAATCAATGTGTAGTTATGCAGTGACAGTACAGCTAACAGCTACTCTTATTGCTTATTCTATTATTATTCTACTCAAGCAGATAAAAAACCCAGATAAGAGAAAGTAAGAGTACAACACCTTGCCCTCCACTGAAAGGTGTAAGCTGATCTCATTGTTGACTTGCCATGCCGAAATCGAGAGTGGGTTCAGGCGCCTGAGAATAAAGCACTGAGCTATGGAAGAGCATTTAAAATTGTTGCATTTGTAGAAACATTATTCATGCTGCTTAACCCAGAATGTCTGTAGCCATTATAAAAACCCAGAAGCCACATAAATTGAGTGCAAACAACAACAGAGGACGCTTAAGAGGAATTTTATGCCAAAGCCTATGAGACTAGTTCTATGAGGTTCAACTTGTGCATTTCACTCAGTGCTCCTTGTATTGCAAAATAGGGTAAAATTATCCCAGTGTTGCCTCCAAACTGTGACTTTTTCCTTACTCAAGACCTAGAAACCATCACATCACATGGCACTTATTTCAATGCCACACAAAAAAATAGAACCTCAAGCTGATAATCAAACACTCACAGCTTGGAAGGGACCTGTGCAGCACCCTTGGGGAGTTGGTTCACATAAAGATGGAAGGTGATGCCGCTCTTCAGGCTGAGAAGAGCGCTGCTGCTGTTCTGCTGGAAAACGGACTTCTCCATCAAATCAGCCGTCTTGCTGAAGAACATCAGCAGATGCCGGTACAGGAACCTAAAACAAAAGATCAAATTTAAACTAGTATTTCCATATATAAAACCAGTTAACACCAGTGATTAAAAAACGCTCAATTTTAGTAGGATCTGTAAAATTGTTGCAGTTTTATTTGTGGTTTTCTTAAAATTGTTTATACAGAACAAAACTGTAACAAGTTTGTATTAAAATACTTTTCATTACCACCTCCTGTTTCAGACAAGGCTACATGAAATAAACACTTCCAGTTGAAACTTCTATCGCCAGGTGTTAAAACTGCTGTTTACTCTTAATGTTTGGGGCTGTTCAGGAATTCAAGAATTACAGTATTTACTGTTACTTGCAAAATGGTTTATAAAAAGCTTCAAGAATATGTACAGGAAGATTATGTGGATATATATTTAAGCAATATCTCGAAACATCTGCCAGGAAGTTAAAGCTTGGTCGCAAATGAGTTTTCCAAAGAGACAAGCAGATTTCCAAAGTTGTGGGAGGAAGGAGGCCTAGAAACCTGACCCAGTTCCACCAGTTCTGTCAGAAGCAATGGGCTGAAACTCCAGCAACTTATCGGAACAAGCTTGCGCAAGGCATCCCTAAACGTTTGACCCAAGTTAAAACAATTTAAAGGCAATGCTACCAGATACTAATGGACTGTATGTAAACTTCCACTGGGAGTGAGATGAAAGAAATAAAAACTGACAAATCTTTTTCTCCACTATTATTCTGACATTTAAAATTCATAAAATAAAGCAGAGATCCTAACTGACATAAGACAGGGAATGTTTACTGGATTAGATGTCAGGAGCTGTGAAAAAGTTTAAATATATTTGGCTAAGGTCCATGGAAGCATCTGACTTCAACTGTATTTACTGTCATACTGTTGATCTTGATTTCAGAAACTGATTTTGCAACCTCTGTGCTTCAAATAATTAAGTACCATCACCTTACTTTTCACTGTTCAGTGCCTTAACGCTTGCAGAGGTTACTGAAGGAAACCATGACACAAAAATCAAATGTACACACAAGGTCGTGTTAGCAGCTAACCTCATGAAAGACCTCCTTGCAGTTACAACTGCATGTGAATCATGCACAATCCGTCCACTTGATGAGGCACTCTCCTTGGTATTGAAGTTCCCAGTGCCAAAGGCAACCACTTCACAGCCTCTGGCTAGAAGGAGAAGGGACTAAGGTCAGAAGTAAATACAGCATACTCAGCCAGCAGCCGTGCAACTTTTTACAGATCGTACTATACGTCATCTGTGTAGTTTCATTCTTGTATACTGTTAAGCAGAGGAATGACATTTCTTTTCTGAACAGACCTTTTGCAGCTAGACATACAGCATTATGAATAGTGCACATAATGCAACTGATAAAGCTCCATGTACAAATTCAGCAATAAATTACACTGGCAGCCACAAGTCTGGACACACATTCCCAATAAATTCAATATATAAAACTGCAAGGACAGAAACATGTCAACACCAGTACAATGTTTGAGGTTACATAGACCACTGTGTGGTTATATTTAATTGCAGTATAATGTCAGATTTCACAGTTTAATCAACAAAATGCCATCGATTTCAAATGTTCTCCTATTTGTTATGAGTCAGCATGGATGTAGAATTCCTGGTCTATGGATTCATTCAGGAAACAATGCAAAATGTTCATTTTCCTAACTTGATTTCAAACATCTTGCCATAATTTGTCTTTAAAACTTGTTGCTTCTTTAGTATCATTTGTTTTTCTAAAAGAAATGCTGCACAAATTTAGTTAGCAAAAAGCTTTTGAGCCACTGCAATATTCACAAAGTTAGAAGAAAACAACCAATGTATTTCTATCTTAAGAGGCAGGATATACCATTGTACGCTGTGCACACCATTACCAAACTAAGCAAGTGTTACACGATACAATACGTTCAGATACAGCCAAGCAATCACACTGCTAAAAGTGATGTCAGATGAAACTGTCTACAAATATTTACTAACAAACCTCTGGGACGTATTATCATCCATCTTATGTCCTTGAGCATTAACTTACACGTCTGAATGATGAATGCTGCTATGGTGCCTGCACAGGCAGAGAACTCCGAGTTGCTGCTCATCAGTTTAGTGAGCGCATCCCTCACAGCCTGTGGAACCTGGAGGTTGACAGAATCCTTCTTTTCTGTGAAAAAGAAAAAGTCAAACTTCATCTGGCATTGATCTCACTACATAGACCTGACCAAAAAAACAACAAAAAAAGAGAAGTTCAGTATATGGAGAGAGATCATGGTTCACTTTATTATCCCAGAAAGGAAATATTATATTACCGAATCATTCTACAGTACTTTATTTCCTGCACTTCCTTTTATTCATATGATTTGGTCCTCAAAAATAGCATTTAGCTATAATTATCATGAGACAAAGCTGATAATCAGGGTTCAAAATTTACTTTATGACTCATGTTCCCTTTTTAATTAATTCAGCTGACTACACTGCCCATTTTTTGGTATCACTCACCGTTTACATGTGTAACCATGACCTAAAGCATATTTTTAGACTTGGCTCAGAAAGCCAATTAAACGCAGAGCAGGGGTGTGTTTTTGCAGGATACATGCGTGTGTGCACCTCTCTTACTGTGCTGCCATCTCAAATACTTACTATGAATGGCTCTAAAAGAGACAGACGGCTTCTCTTTTACTGGCAACGGCGGAGGAACATCTGGGGGGGGGACATGGAATGAATAAATAAAGTGATGCCTCATAAGATACTACACTCTACCGTAACAGTTTTTAAAACTGGTTATAACGGTCATTGTTGACCCTTCCCAAGAATCACCCTCTACTCATCAGTAACTGCTTAACATGAGCCTGTATCCCATTTATTGTTTTATGCTTTCAGGACTACACGTTGACTGTGTAACTTCAGCCAACCCATCACCACTTCCCTCCACTATGCAAAAGTCAGGCCAATATATCATGAATATGGCAGCTGCAATCTCTGCATTTTGCAACCAGATTCTGTGCAGTAGTGAATGAGTAGTTGAGTGAAGTATGAGGCCACCAATCAAGACTATAAAATCATCTGAAATACACCCCTTTTTACATCATCAAATAACTTGTTAAACACCTTAACAGAAAAATTACCTGTACACACATCAGCGTGATATCATTTCAGTTTTTATTAGACCCAAACCTGCTGCTTCAGGGAAGAAAGACTTCAGGCCATCCAAGGTAGGCAACAGGTCCTGCAGAGCGAGCTCAGCAGCCTCGAGTCGAGCCTGCTTTTTGTTTATCCCCATGCCAGTCTTGTACTGGACCCCATTGATGACCACACAAAAAGCAAAATAAAACCCTGATATGGTGCCTGAGAAAACAAGAGATGAGAAACTGATTATAGTAATTAGTGTAAAAAAAAAACTCCTGAAGATTTAATAGATGGAATTTAATAGATGCTTTCTATCATTTTACAGATGAAGTGATACATCAATTAATCAAGAATAACAAATAACCGTTTGTGAAGTCTTAAAAAGAAGTCTAGATTACCTTGATAAACCATTTAATTCTAAAATTCATGCAGCATTACAAAACTCAGGTTCAAGTTGAATAATGGCTACTTCATCAGATCTAATAACAGTGGCAGCAGGTTCAAATTACCTGTGGTCTCCTTTACTTCCAAGTGGAACTGAAAAATCTGGGCAAGCTGATGCAAAAAAGACATGGCGTTTGTTTGGCCATTCCTGTATCTGTCGAGCAGTGTTTTAGGTATGGTATCTTTTGACTTGACAGCAGGATCTAGGCGGGAGGGTAGGAAAGGCAGATTAAAATTTACACATCTTATAGAGTTTCCACTTTTCCATAATAAAAAACAAAACATTGATTCCCCTGCAACATAAACCAAACCTTACACCAAACGACCAGTCTGGTAGTTAAGTTATCTATTCACAGAGCTGCTGACCCATGGAACCAGCCCAATGGGACCAGCCCCATAGAACCAGGCCCGTTGGACCAGCCCCATGGAACCAGGCCCGTGGGACCAGGCCCGCACTGTGGAACTCACCAGGTTCGAATGCGTTTTTCGCCTGTTGCTCAAAGACGTGTTTGCTAGGACCATCTGAGGTAGACGGAGTCGACGGAGTTTCATATGAATCCCTCAGTCCGGACGTTGCAGGCAAATCCTTTTTGGAAATTTGTGCAAAACTGGCTCCTCTGAAACCGCGAAATGATTGACGAGCTTGAAACATCCTGAAATCTTTAGTGATTACTGAAAAGAAGAGAACACCAAACTAATGTCTGACAGAAACCAGACCTATGTAGGCTTCCCAAAGGACTGCCTGAGGACTTCCAGGTGACCTTCAAAGGGCTCAAGGACATCCAGTGACTAACCTAATCTGACTAGCTGGGTAGCAAGTGGCTCAAATGATAACATATGGTAACAAAAATATACACAACGTAACGTCAGCTTTAACCGTTAACGTTAGCTGTGGTGCTATGTCAAAGTCAGTTCCCGTTGAGATGTTTTCCACATAATAATTAACGGATAATGGAACTAACGTTATCATAACCCTAACATGGGGGCGCTAGCATTACGGGAATCACGGTGTTAACACGGAAACAAAAACAACTCAAACGTTAAAGTGTTTGTTGATTTGAAGGTAAAATGCCATTAACGTAACGTAAATGAAACACTACGTCGATTAAAAAAAAAAAGCTAGAGAAAGAATTTCCCAACTCACCACGTCTCGAATTGCTGCTAAAGTTTGCCGTCAGTTAACGTTAGCAGCGTTTCACCTTCGGTTAAAGCTTCTGGCGCGTGCGTTTGCAGTCGTCACGGGACGAACCGGCTGTTTGGAAAATCACTAACGAAATGTTTGGATGCGATCTTCTTGTACAGAGAAGTTGAAAGTACAAGCTGTATGTTGTCCTCCAAAAATTCCTTACCATATATACATTACAGTTTTATTCTGTACTGTACATCACTTTCAGGGTAACTTCTTCTTCTTCTTCTTCTTCTTTCGACTGCTCCCATTAGGGGTCACCACAGCGAATCATCTGTTTCCACCTAACTCTATCCTCAGCATCCTCTACTCTCACTCCAGTTAACTTCATGTCCTCTTTTAGCACATCCATATATCTCCTCTTTGGCCTTCCTCTTGACCTCTTGCCTGGCAGCTCCATCTCCAACATCCTTCTACCAATATAACCACTAGCCCTCCTCTGCACATGTCCAAACCATCTCAGTCTGGCTTCTCTGACCTTGTCCCCAAAACAGCCGACCTGAGCTGTCCCTCTGATGTGCTCATTCCTAATCCTGTCCATCCTGGTC